CTGGGGAATTCTGGGAGATGAAGTCCACTCATCTTAAAGTGGCCAAGTTTGGACAACACTGATCTAATAGAAGCTGAACAAGTGCTTGAGACGATGAGTTCCTTATTCTTTAACTAATAACTACTGTGAAAAACTGTTGACTTCGGACTTTAAACAAGTCATGAGTGCAGCTAAATCATTATGCAAGCAGAAATGGAGGATCCTGTCCCTTATTTTCTAAAATTTTGTCCCTCAGGAATATATTTTAAAGCTGATCAGGATAAATATAACGTTAAACAAACAAATGCAAATCAGTGCTTTAAAGAATTTAAATCTTAAGTAGAGTGCAAGCTATATATTCTTAGCCACTTGCTTTTTGGAGATTTCATAACTAGAATAACTAGCTAGCATGGCCCAAGGAGAAAGAATATTTTTATTTTAGTAGTTTGCTTCTTCACTGTAACAGAATTCTCAAAATAGTTTATATTATATATATTTTAACAACTCAAACTACTAAGACAAAGTGAGTACAAGAAAGTTCATATAGCATTTTTCTTTAAAAAAAGCAAGCATCTTGGAAGAAAGAGGGCTTCAACTGGCACCAAAAAGATGTCAGACTTAGGATGAACTTCTTGAGAATTCTAAAACTAGTCAGGTTTTCTTTTTGATCATCACTCATCTCACCTTTGAAGGTAGTAAGAGTCAGAGAATATTAGTAGAAGACATCAGTATAATTGCCAGGCCCACCTGGAAGACCATAACTCAAAAAACAATTCAGGAGCACAAATGCTAAAAAATACTATTATGTAGTGGCAAAGAACATGATCTTTTTCAAATCAGTCATGACCTCAGTCCAATTTTTAGTTTGAACTATATGCCTACCATGTAGGAATGAATCTAAAGTTTATTGAACCCTAATCAGCGTACACAAGGACCTTTTTATATCTTGAATATGGTGATCTTTAAAAGATGGAAATCAAAGTGGTATCATCACTGGTGGGTTTCTACAAAACTATATAAAGGGCCCTTTAAATTTAAGATTGACTGTTTTTAAATACTGCAAGAATGACCAAGGCTCTTTGACAATCAAGTTATGAGTTGCACTTCTCATAATCTACCCAACACAACTCTTTGTGAATAGATGCTGACCCACGATCTACTATTGATGTCTCTGTCTCTGAAGAACTTTGATTCATTGCTCCTATGATGACAAGTAGATCAACAAGATGGGGAAAGAGAAATGGGTGTCTAAAACAGAACCTCTAACACTTGTCCTCACAAATCCCTGATCTTCTCACTCCTCCAAAAAAATTAAAACCAGGAAAGAAATAGAAACACATTCTGATCTATGTGCACATAATTCTAAATAATGACAGCCCAATGCCTTATCTATTAGAGCACACAGCACCATGAGATTTGAATTCTATGTCTATGTGTATGGCAGAAATTTCAGCTCTTACAATCTAAGTACAGTACCCTGAAAGTGTATACCAATGGTGGCTTAGAAACAGGACACCCTAGGACCTTCCCTTGAGTCTTCACTTCCTCTGGTGCTAGTGGGAGGCTCCTGTTGACGAAAGGACTTACAGGGATATTTTTGTTAATTTCCCTTTTCCATGACACCTTCTGGCACTCCAAAATCTGAGTGTCTCTCTGGAACCAAGCATGGGTGTGGGTGTGTCTCTGAGGCTGCAGGAGGAAGGCGAAACTTGTCTTTTTGTTCCACAGCAGGCCCAGGTAAAATGGAAGCTCTTGCATTCGTGTAGTAAGTCACAAGGGCCTCTCAGAATCCAACACTTGTCTCTAGAACTATAATGCTTACTCATTTAGTTTAATTCTTTTCAATATATGAAAATAAAATAAAAAGGTTATGTCTAAATATTTGTTTTGATTTGCCAGTGAGAAAAAGCATCTCCTCCTCTCCATTTAGAAGGGAAAGCCTCTAAGTTGTGCCTGTTATGACTTGAAGCCTCATCAGCTGAACACAAAGAAAGTACATGGTTCATCTGCAGAAGTACTGTTTTATTCAGAAGCAAATATATAAATTAATCAACACACATGATTACTAATTTCTATAATTCAGGAAGCAACCTGCATGCCTCCCCTACTTTCTTGCTCACTCTCCACTCTACTTTTCATTGAAGTCTTTGCAATACTTTGGTTTTCAGAGAATGAGAATCCCCTATCATGTTCTGAATAATTTGCCTGAGCAATCAATTTATGATTTTCTTGATAGCATGTATTGCTCAGCAGGTGAACACAAGTTGCACAAAGAGTACATAATTAAAACTCACAAGGAAATCTTTAGGAAATACTCTCACAATCTCCAAGTGTTTTCCCTGATCTTCCTATTTAACTAAAATAGCTGGCAATATCCTTTTACCGATATTTATTTTTGAAGCAAGCCCAAGAAAAGGAGTCAATCTGGCTCCTCCCCTGATTTCTGCTCTTTTCCTGCTCACATTATCAGTGAAGTGACTCATTACAAAAGCAGGAAAGGACAGAGAAAGTAAGATAATAGAAAGTATGCTTTAGTTTCATGGAGGAGGAGCAAAGGTCACATTAGATCCAGTTTAACCATATGCAGGGTTTATTTCTAAGATGGAAAAATTGATATTTCCACTTTATGTGATTAAAGGCCTCGATATTTTTTTCTCCCACAACTTCATTATCCCAACATCATCCTTTTACTTAGAATTACACAGAAGATTGCCAGAAACACTTCAGTAAATACTCAACAGTCTTTCATGGAAGACTCCACTCCATCACATTTTTTAAAAAATCACCTCTCATTTTTGGCTTGAGACATTTTTGGATATGCTTAAGAATATTCAGCGTGACTCTAGCACAGGCTTTAGTCCTGCTCTGAACTTCTTTATCTGTTCTGCTCCATGAGGTGGGAACTTTTTCTCATTCAGGCTATAAATGATAGCATGTCACTGATAGTAAGCACTTTTTACCATATCCAGGAATGTATCACACCATCAACCAAAGCCCCTCTTGGCCCTTCTTTTTTTTTCAGTCTCATTTTTTGCTGAACAAGAGATATGTGGAAACTTCATGAATGCTAACACCCAACCACCTGTGTGCAACTGAGAGCAGGAAATTTCAAATACTTCATAGTGATCATAAATGCTTATCCATTCTTCTAACATTCAGATATAGATGGGGCTGCACAAGTGCCTCTACATCCTCACAGTATTAAGTAGTCTCCTTTATAAGAGGTTCTTTTCCCCACTGGGTGCCAAGGACATCCTTTTTAATGGCACTGTTTCTGGAAGGAATAGCAACTCTGTCCCATGGTGGTATCTCTTGCCATGCCGGTAGTCTTTGGTTAAAGCCGCTACACCTCTCAAGCGGTTGGTGATGGCAGATCCTCCTGAGGCCTCAGTTCTTGCCCAATTCTGTTCTGTTCAAGCTCACTTATTACAGACATGTATTTAAATTCATTTGGCTGATGGTTAAATGCTTCCACTAACCAATAGGTCTCTTGACGCTCTGTGGCATAGAAGAGCTGAACCTGGCTGGCCAGACATTGGGCTTCCTGCACATTCTGTGAAAATTAACACACAACATATACTTTTAGAAGAGTTACAGGGCTTCATCAGTTGAAAGACAAGGAGCATTAAGCCTTGCACCCTGTACCAAAAATTCAATTTCCTTTTATCACTGTGTTCTAATGCCAGGACAGTTATAAATACCAGTGGCAGTTGCATGAACCAGTAACTGCTGTAGCAGTAAAGAACAAGAAAATCTGCTATAAAAGTAGTACAAATCAACAATATTTTAGTATTTGAGAGTGTTGTTCTTAAGAGATTTCTTTCACACCAGGATCATTACGCTGATGTGGTCAATGGCTCTTTTATGAATTCTGAGGCATTTCTCAAGCTATTGAGAAATGCCTCAGAATTTCCTCTCAATATTCTCCTGAATATTGTCTAATGGCCTTAAGTCTTTGAAGGAAAGCAAATGGAGAAAATGCCTAACAGCAACAGTTGGTATGGCTTCAACTAACACAATGCTAATCAGACAAAAAAAAAAATTGAGAGCCAACTGGAATGTAAAAACCAAAAGTGTGGGCCAGTTCCTATTATGGTTTTCTCAATCCATAACATTACTAAAGTGTGCAAGCTATTACTGAAAATTCACAAGTTTACATATTATTTTGTAAACTGCCTGCTAGCCATCTGGAAGTCTCTTCTATTGATATCAACATGAGGGTGGAATACATATGAAAATATTTGCAAAGCGTACTTAGAAATGTTCATCCATTCTGTGCTTTCAGTAAGCAAGACTTAACAAAATGACACAAGAATAATTCCATTGGTACTATTTGTTTTAAAAACCAAGGAACTGTCTTTCTGTCACAAGAACCTGAGCATTGCTGAGCTTCACTTACCAAGAATTTAGAGTTCATTTCTGCAGTCATCAGTACAATTCCTTTTTCCTCCCGAAGCTCAGGATAATGATACAAAATCAACTGGCTGGGAGAAGTATCACCTTGAGTCTGCAGCAAGTAAAAAGTTCTTTATTATATAAAGATAGAGGTATTCAACAAACACACTTTAATTAATGAATCAAGCATTTCAAGACTTCAGCCAGGACAGAGATACAGAGGCACCTGTAAGTTTAAGGAGAAAACATTGCACTGGATGGAGGAATATTTTCGGGGAAAATTGTACATTTTGATTTTTGACTAGATCAAGATGTCATTCCAAGCACAAAGTTCAATTACAACTCTCCTAGTTCCCATCTAGCATGTTCATTGACTGTAGTAGTCTAAGCAATAGGTTGAGAAAGACTGGTCTAGGGGAACAGGCTTGCTCTGGTCAACCTTACAATTTCTCATTTTTATAGCTAGGCCAAGGCATATGTTATCACAGGACACTGTATGAGCGCAATGAAAAATACTAATTATTCAACTCAAGCCCTGAGCTACCTCCATACTGGAAGCATCCAGACAAACATGTATTGTCTTAATAAGCTGAGTTATGAAGGAACCTGCTGGCCATTCAAGCAGCCACTTTGCTTTTGCTTTGAGGCAAGAGCAATCAAGCTTCTAAGCTATGCAGTTTCTAAGCCACCTAACCTGGGGCTCTCAAAACAAACAAAAATCATTATCCAGCTTCAAACCACAGTTTAATATCCTGGATTCTTCCAAAGCTGGAATCATAGTTTCCAGGTGTTGTAGTCAAAACAGGAAGCTACAGTAAAGCGAATATTCCTTTTATTTGCTACCTTTTATTTGCTACTATGATGCATCCAGCAAGAAAGTCTGCTCATTTCACAGCTTATTAATTGTCCAGACATAATCGCCACCTAATAAGCCGGTTTTGATTTGCGTAGGTTGAGTGTCTGGAATGATTAACACAGCAACTTCCACTAAATAATTTTACTATGAACAGAATTGTCAAGGCTTAATTGATTTGGAGCACAGTGCCCTTTTGAAGCACTGAAGGACTATCTGTTTTATGCATCTCACAGTAAGGCCAAATAAATGACCCAAGTCTTGAATAAAATTCATCTTCTGTGATTTAGCAATCCTGAATTAGAGATTTGTAGCAAAAAGTTCAAAAACAACCCCATTTCCCTTAAAAGCCCAGACATTACCATCAGTGCCCACATGAAATACTGCTTGTTTTAAGGAATGGTTTTAAAAGGCAGTCACATACACAGAATTTGGAAAAATTCCTACCTCCTTTCTGAATTCCCAAAACTATCCCTGGAAATAAATTTTAGAAAAGATCACCTACCTGAATGTTTATCAGAGAAGTGAAGTGGAGTTCTGTTCCTGACCAGAGTCCAACAAAAAATTCATACCCTTCCTTCCTTGGCAGTGCATAAAGAAACTGGATTGAAGATGGGGTGGGAATTAAAATTGGTTTATTGAGACCCAGGTCAAAATGAGAAAAACACAGGATTCAGGAAGACAAATGAGCAATCATTCCAGACTATTTCTGGAAAGTGACACTTCCTAGATGTTCATTTCCTCACAGTGTTGAGCCTATGAGAAACTTTATCTGCTTCTGATGATCTTCTCCCACATTGTTCTTTGCAACAATTCAGTATGCACAAATCTGGACAACTTTTCTCTGGAGTTGTTCATTTTTTGGACTAAAGTACTTTTACAAGAACTGACCAGTTAATATAGCAGCTGTTTATTATTCCATCACAGCTATAATCTATTATGAGCAGTTCATCCAAACCCCATCACAATTTGAACACTAAACTATCAGTAATAAAATTTTACATTGAAAAGAATGAAAGAACATAAACAGTCTCTGGCCACAAGAAACCTTTCCAAATACATGCATCATACTTACAGATGGACAATTCTGAATCCGCTTCCACATCACATCAAAAGTCTTTCCCTTTGGAAAGAAATGGGGAAACATGCTTATGTAGTTCTCACAATTGAGAAAATGGTCAAACTCCTGAATGTTAACTACAAAACCATTTCAGCAGAGCCAGTATCTAATTTTAATTTCTGAAGGCCCCACCAAGTTAAACAAAACAGATGTTGGGGTGGAGGAGAAATTACTGTTGTACTTACAGGAATAACAGCATAAACTGTGTCTTCTCCAGAAAAGTATTGCTTCCATATCTGGATAAGAGATTATGCCAGTTAGTTCATGGACAATGAATGGAAATGAAAAGAATCTCAATTCAGTACAGGTAATCCCTGGGTTAAGAATGCCTGGTTTACAGACCACCCATAGTTAAGAACAGAGCCTACTATAGCAAAATTTGAGTTACATACACAATGATTTGAGTTAATTACACAGTACTACTTATACAATATTATACATTAATACTGTTCCGGCTTACATACAAATTCGATTAAAGACAGACCTTGGGAATGGAACTCGTTCTTAAACTGGGGACTACCTATACAATAACTGTAGTTGCACAATATTACCAGTATATCAGTCAACAGGGATACTTGATCCTGGTCTTTACTGGTGCTGTTTCCAGTCTAATGTCCAGCTTTTTTTACCCCTGTTTTTATTTAAGGTCCAAAGAGTCAAAAATAGCAATAAAAATAAAACCGAAACTTACTAAATGAAATACATAACAAAACAAACTAAAGAGCTCTGTAGAAGGATAACCTGCCAAAGCAGAATTCCAGCTGCCTTCACTGGGATTTTCATTCTTCTAAAAAGTTTTTTACTCAGTTCCAAAAAGGCATCAGGATGAAGCTTAGGGAAAAACCTCTGCAGTGTGGGTGCCACTTCCAAAAAGTTCTTCATCATCTAACAGTTAGATTCTAACTCCTCATTTCACCATGCACAGAAACCCAAATATTCTTTAAAGAGGGCCTCAGTACCCAGAAAGAAATATTTGGGAATCGATTTCTGCCCATTATTTTGCACGGAAATAAGCTCTGGGCTTAAAAACCACAAATATTTATTTAATTTATTCATTGTTCGTGTTTCTATCCTGTCGCAATCGAAAGACTTGATTATATGATACAAGAAGGACTGTATTTGTGTGTATATATGTGTGTCTTTTTAAGATTATATAAGTTAGGGAAAGTGCGGGACAGCAGCCTGATCTACAGACTTTTAATACAAAAAGGTAATTCACACCCAGGAGAAATTGTGGTATTGTTATTCAAGTATCTCTGTGCAAGAAACAGTAACTATGTGCGACAGCCCTGAGTATAGGTTTTGAATGTTATAAAGTTTTGGTTTTCAAAAGTTAACAGAGAACAACAGGTTCCATTAACTTAAAAGTGTATAAAAGTTATACAAAATGTACTTTTAAGAGTTCCCATTTTTGTCACCTGCTTTATTTCTTCAGGCTTCTTCTGTTTCATCATCTCAACATTAAGTATAGAATCAAGTGTCTGAAATAAATTATAAACAATAGTGTTTACAGTCATCAATGTAAGAAGAAATTAAACAAAACATTGTCTTTATAGGCCAACACACATACAAAGTAACTGGGAAGAAATTTATCAACTTCTAATAATAGCGATCTATTTTAATTTATAGCATTTATATCCTACCTTTCATCTGGGAGTTCAATGTGGCATGCACTGGGTTGTCCCATAAATTTATCCCACAACAACAACAATCTGGAGGAAAGGAGAGCTGAAAGGAAATGTCTAGCTCAAAATCAACCACTGAGATCCATGGTTGAGAAGGGACCTGACACTGGGTCATATCAGTCTAAATCCAACATCTTTTTAAAATTTTATTTAGCATTCTTAAAATACACAATTAACAAAATAATCTTTAAACTTAAATAAAAAATTAACAGAAACCAAAACAAAAAATAGAAATAAGACATCCCCAAACAAACTAAAAATACAAACTTAGAAAGAATGAAAAATATCTACTTTATGTTTCATAGTTATCAATAGTCTGGGTTTACTAATAAATATACTACTATAATATAATGAGTACGAAAAGTTATTGTAAAATATCACAAAATCTCTGCCATAGTAATATATACTGCTGCATCCTTTGATTAGTAGAAAATATTGCCTTTTCCAAAACAAACAGATCACAAACGTCCAACAACCATTTCTTAACATCTGGAATATCATCACATTTCCAATTTCCCAATATGAGAAGTCCAACACCCTAATCACTCTACTATGCTGGCTTAATGGCAAATACCTTTATAACATATCCATCAAATCCAATGGCCTGTTCTGAGGATGGAAGAAAGCAAATCAGTGATAGCTTATCAGAAGCAGCTAAACTATGTCAATGACAGAACTTTCTATAATAGATCTTATGAAAAATCCCTCAGACAGATCTAGTCCAAGTGCTCTACTAATCCAGCACACCATTAGCAAAACAGGATAAATAAGAGGAAATAAGAGTAGAAAATAGGCTTAATGAAAATATAATCTTACCTTATTTTTTGTAAATCCTGATTTTGTTTGTTTTGCTTTCGCGGTCTAAAATTAAATGTTAAAAAACTAGTTTAGAGTCACCACAGTGAAAGTTGTAATAATCTTCCTACTGTTAAGCAATTTGTCTTAGATCTCAGAGAGGACAAATCAAGGAGACACATAACTGGTTGAAGTGCAGAGCCAAGGGATTGGGTAAAATGCAACTGTTTTTAAATTAGAAGTTAGTTTTGTGTCAGTAGAAGGCATGACTTAATTTTGAGATGAAACCTATTAGCTGACATAGTTACTTTTGGAGGGTATTTCTAAACTTTAATATAATACATGGTGTTCCAAAATCTTAGTGCAGTTTTAAGCTTTAGAAGCTTAAAACTGCACTAAGACTTTTGAAATAACCTGTATAATGCATTCCAATCCATCAGAAAGCATGGGGGAGAGGTTATGCTGCTGATATTAACATATCTTCTACAACTCTGTGGTTCCTTTTAGTATATATGATTACAGTAAATCTGAAAACACAAAAAAGTATACCTTTTTTGTCCAGAAAAGGTTTTTTTTAAAAAAAAAATGCATTGTAAGGGATCTAAGTTTAATGGAGACTGGTACACAAGGCCAGAAGCAACCAATCAGAATAAATTACACTTATGTGTGTGTGTGTTTAT